TAATTTGGAATTTGGGATTTGGGATTTTGGCATTTGGGATTTTGGCATTTGGATTTTGAATTTGGGTGGCAGGTATATCCCAAGTGACCTGAAATAGGATTGTTATAGTTTTCTTGTAAAATTTTTGTAATGAGTTTCTTATTTCTAGGAATAACTAATCTATTATCCTCTTTAAGGTAAATATGTTGATTTTGTAAATAATAATTTTTGACTTGAGCTCTTTCACGTGGATTAGCTTCATTAAAGTTTTCAAGAGTTTTCAGAATTAAGGCCCAATGATTATCTGTTAGGTATAGTTGATATAAGTCATTTGAATTAATAAGGTTTGTAAAAATGGTAGATATTGTTGCAAGTTGGAGTTTTCGTAATAAAGTATCAACTACAACATTGGTTTTTCCTGGTTAATATCGTACTTCAAAGTCATTAGATTACAGAACTTCAAGTCACCTAGCTTGTCTTCTGAAAAGATTATATTGAGTTTTAATATATTCCAAAGTAGCATGGTCAGTTATAGTATAGAATTTTTGACCTTCGAGATAGGGTCGCCAAGTTTTAATAGCATAAACTATTGCTAGTAGTTCTTTTTCATGTACAGGATATTTTAATTTAGTTGCAGATAGTTTTCTTGAGTTATAAACAATAGGTTGTTCCCCTTTACCTTGATCTTGAGTTAATACAGTGTCAATTGCAAAGTCAGATGTGTTCGTGATAATTGTGAATAGTTTAGTTGGATCAGGAAGTAATAAAACAGGTGCTGAGATTAATTGTTATTTTAATTTCTCAAATGCATTTTGTTGACTATCTTCCTAAAGAAATGGTTGTTCCTTGTGAATGAGTTGAGTTAAGGGTGCGGCAATAGCTAAAAAGTCTTTTACAAACTTACGATAATAACTAGCAAGTCTTAAAAATGATCTAACTTCTGAAACATTTTAGGTGCAATTCAATTTTTAATAGTATCTATTTTTCGTTCGTCAACAGAAATTCCTTTATATGAAATATAATGACCTAAGTATTTGACTTGTTATTTAAATAATTCACATTTGCTTAACTTAGCAAATAATTAGTGTTTTCGTAAAGTTTGAAGAACAGTTTGAAGGTGTTGAATATTATCCTTCTTTGTTTTACTATATACCAAAATATCATCAAGGTAAATTATAACAAATTGATCTAAAACATCTCGAAATA